CTAATTGACCCTCACGCCGTTGCAAAGATGGCGACGTCCACAGCCAATAAGGAGGGAATATGCTAATTGACTGCCCTGCCCTCAAAGATGGCAGTGCCCACAGCCAATAAGGAGGGAATATGCTAATTGACTGCCACACCCTCAAAGATGGTGGTGCCCACAGCCACAAGATGGCAGCGCCCAGTCCCCTCAGCCCCCCAGCTGCCCAGAGCCGCCTGAGGCTCCGGTAACCAGGGCCGGCAGAGACTTGCGCTGCCGGCAGTGGCAGTAGCAGAGGTGTGATGGGGCATCACCTTCCCCTGATCACCAGGTCGCCTCCCGCCCCTGAGGTCTCCCGGACTGTGAGAGGGGGCAGGCTTGGCTGAGGGACCCCCCTCCTGTGCATGAATTTTCATGCACCGGGCCTCTAGTTAATGAATAATAATACAAGAATAAACTCTGTTTCACGGACTCACAACTGTGAGCCTGCTTTTGCCCCACCCTGTATTGTCATCTAAACCCTCTGGCCATCCCGTTCTGAGAGCGCATTTGACAACAGCCCTCCTTCTGGAGCTCCTGTCTCTGTGTGAGCCACACCACTGCTGCGGGCATCTGTCTCCCCCCAACCCACAGCCACGGCTCCCATTACTTTTCCCGTGAAGTTCAAACTCCTGAGTGTGCAGAAGGCCTCCCTGGGCTGCCCGCCCACCTCTGCCACATGCCTGGCTCCCCTTCACTTACCTCATTTCCTCCAGCTGGACTGAACCTGGCCCAGCTTCACACGCATGTCCTTCCATCCTCAAGCCACGTAATCCTCTGGTCAACTCCCTCTTCCGTCCAGCTTATCTTTGCATCACCTCCTCCTACATTGTTGCTGCCTGCCCAACCTGTCTGCATAGCTCAGAGGTTCCTTTTCACAGGTCTATAACATCTCAAAAAGGACCCAAGAAGGTCATAAACTTTTTTTTTAATCCTCCCCCGAGGGTATGTTAATTGATTTTAGAGTGAGAGAGAAAGAGGGAGAGACGAGAAACATTGATTGGTTGCCTCCCATACCTGGCCCAACCGGAGATTGAACTCACAACCTAGGTTTGTGCTCTGATTGGGAATCGAGCCCACAACCAATTGAGTCTCCCAGCTTGGGCTAAGGTCATCAACTTTTGCTTTTGCCGAGTAAGGACAAAAAATTAAACAATTAAGGAAAAATGCTGTGGTTGTTTACCATCACCATCCTCCTTTCCTATATAATAAAAGGCTAATATGCAAATTGTCCGTTCGACCAGGGGGCGGGGCCGGCCAGCCAACTGCCCCTGTCACCCCTGCCAGCCCGCCTGATCAGCCCCATCCGTGCACAAATTTGTGCACTGAGCCTCTAGTTATTTCATAAAAGAGAGGATGAAATAGGGTGTAAGCTCAGAATGAAGGACACTTTGGCAACTTTACTTCAACTAGGTATCCACATCACCTTTTCTGGATGTTTCTCTTTTGGCCTAAGGCCAGTAGACTTGTTTACAGACCATCCTTGGGGGTGTTGGGACCCCACTGGGAGACTGTCAGCTCCTCCTGAGGTTTTTGATTTCTTTTCCCTCGAATAGTGGAGCAATGATTAACTTTCTGGTTGGTGGTTTACAGGGTGTGAAGGAAGGTGTGAAGCCAAGGGAGGGAGTAAGCATGTGCAGAGTGGAAGGTGTTGTGGGTGGTTGGCCTGTGTGTGTCCTTGTCTCTCCCCAACCCTGCTCTTCCCATGAGTGTCTGGCTTTGTGGTTCATCCTTCTCTCCTTGTTCCCTCATCTCTCTGCCACCCAGTCGCCTTCTTTGTCTTTCTTTTTTCTCTTTTAATTCTCAGCCCACTCCTATTTTTCCTCTCTGTACTTCAACCCCCGGGCCCTATCCAGTAGCCCATATCTTAACTTGTCATTATATACCATTTAAAAATTTTAATACCAGAGGCCCGGTGCATGACATTTGTGCACTCAATGGGGTGGGGGTGGGGGTGGGTCCCTCAGCCTGGCCTGTGCCCTTTCACAGTCTGGGAGCCCTCGGGGGATGTCTGACTGATGGCTTTGGCCCGTGGGGAGTGGGCCTAAGCCACAGTCGGACATCCTTAACGTTGCCGTGGAGGTGGGCTGCTGTGCTCGCCAGCCGTCAGCCTGGCTTGTGGCTGAGCAGTGCTCCCCCATGGGCGTGCACTGACCACCAGGTGGCAGCTCCTGCATTGAGTGTCTGCCCCCTGGTGGTCAGTGCGCATCATAGCGACTGGGCATTCCGCCCTTTGGTTAATTTGCATATTACCCTTTTATTAGATAGGATAGTGGACCTATAACATTGTATGATTTGATATATGTATATATCGTGAACTGATCACCACAGTAAGTTTACTTAACTTAATCCATCGCCACAAGTGGTTACAAATTTTTTTCTTGTGATGAGAACTTTTACGATCGACTCTCTTAGCAACTCTGGAATATACAATACAGTGTTATTAACTATAGTCACTATGCTGTACATTACATCCCAGAAGTTATTGTGTTCTCTGTTCCTAATTTTGAGAATTGGGCCAGTTTTTAAACAAATATTACTGTGTTCCAGGCCAGAGTTAGGTGCTTTTAGTGTGTAATCTCGGGTGATCTGTGCAGGAGGAAGCCACCCCTTGCTTAGAAATGAAGAAACAAGGACTAAAAAGAGGTTAAGGGTCTTGACCAAGGTTACACATCCTGTATGAAGAAGGTCTCTGCCGTCTTTTATATTGAATTTCTGTATTCCAAAACTCAAGCGAGTAAACCCAAACCAATTTTCAAATTAATGGAAAAAAGTTTCTTGTTTTAGAATCTCATATGAAAAAAACCCCACAACACACATGTGGTCTTCTATTAATCTCATTTATTAGAGCATGGCCATTCATTCATCTATATATATATATAAATGGCTAATATGCAAAGTGTCCTCACGGGAGTCCAGGAGTTCGATTTCTCACTATGATGTGCACTGACCACCAGGGGGTGGCGTGGAACGAAGGAAGGCCCCGTCTGGCAGCCGGCAGCTGGGGAAGGAAGGCCCCAGCCAGCAGCTGGAAGGCCCCGATCAGCCCTGATTGCCTGCCAGGCCTGGGGACACTACTTGTGCAGGAATTTCGTGCACTGGGCCTCTAGTTTTATTATAAAATAATAGTACACAGGGGCCAGTGAATCATAGTTCCTTCCCCTCTTCCACCCAGCGTGGCAGTGAAGTGAGGCATTAGGAAATATAAAATACGTGAGGAGAAACAGGAAATACTTTTGCCTAAACAGAAAAGGAATGTGCTCCTCAATGCTAATAACTTCCCACAGCCTTCGTGAGTCTCGGTGTCTTTGTAAAACGGGGTCGTAGTGCCCGCCTCCTGTGATGCTGTGAGGGTGAAATGGGATGACAATACAGGCAAATGAGCTATTTGGAACTGGTGTGTGGTTACCCTCAAAATGTTGGTGCTGGACATATTAGCGGTATTTTATTAGTACGCTCTTAGCATTATTAATCTTATCTTCATTGAGCCCTAATTTCTTCATCTGGAAAATGATTATTAATAACGATGCAACAGTTGCTCCACTTTCCGTCTCAGGGGACAAAATGGTCTGAATTAGGGGCCCCCATGGTCATCTTGGGAGATGTTTAAAAAGTCTTGTTATGTAAGACAATGTTATTCTGTATTAGAAAACTTCTACTCATTCTGGTAACATTCCTGGGTTATTTGAAATGATACCAAACTAAAACCCCCATTTTGCCCCTGGGCAACTGAGTCACCAAAGGTTAAACGCCCTTCTCTGGACCACATGCCATGATGGGGGTCAGAGCTGAGGGTAGAAACTATACAGGTCTCCCTTTCTTCCTAAAACCTCTCTCTGGGTTTGGGGAGTCTTAAAAACCCTGATGTCTGGTCCCATCCCCAAGATTCTGAGGCCATAGGTCAAGGGTGGAGCCTAAAAGACCACGGGTAAGGCTGAGCATGGCTGGGTTTGGGAACCGCTGGACTGAATGACCATCCATGGTCAGCCATATTTCCTCAGTAGTGCTGCCCCATCTCCTGGTGTTTGCTTTCATTCTTGCGCCCCCATACCCTCCATCCGTCTTCCAGTCACTTTCTGCTGTGATTCTGTCCTTTGCTGGGCTCAGCTGGGAGGAACACAAAGCAATGAGAATAAGGGTCCTCCCCATTTATTCTTGGTTGATTTGGGGCTCACTTGCTGTGTGACCTTGGACAAGTTGCTCTCCCTCTCTGGGCCCCTGTTTCCTCCCTGCACAATGGGAAGGAGGCGTGAACATGCTCGTCTGTCCCCTCCAGTGTGTGGTGTTCTCTCCCGGGGATGGCGCACTCGCCTCCACCTCTTACTAGTTATTTTGCTCCTAGCTCGGGGAGGCTGCACATCTTTGTGTCAACCGTTTCTCTGGTGTTTTTCACTTCTTGATGGAGAAATGATAAACTGGAAAGAAGATACTTTTAAATTTCAGAGTATTCCACACATCCTACCCCGTCCTGTTTTAGTTCCTGGCCCCTCCGGCCCACGCCTGCTGCTGAGCCTGGCCTCAGGTCACACGCGCACTTTGATCCTTGGCCCCCTGCTGCCCTGGGGGTTTCTGCAGAAACACTGTTCCCGTGGAGGGGAAGGGCCCCGTGAGGCGGCCTGGGTCCCTGCCGCTCCTCGAGCAAAGTGTACTAAGTCCACCCAGGAGGAAGAGAACTTGTTGTTTATGTTAAATTCTTTATATATTTTTATATATATTTTTTACTTCAGAGAGGAAGGGAGAAGGAGAGAGAAACATCAGTGATGAAAGAGAGTCACCGATTGGCTGCCTCCTGCACGCCCCCGACTGGGGATAGAGCCGTGACCTCCTGGTTCATAGGTTGCCGCTTAACTACCGAGCCACGCCGCCTGGGCAGCATTCTGCCCTTTTAAATAACATTGTGATGAACTTTATTCTGCTTCTGCAGCCCATCAGACGGGACTTCAGGGTCCATGAGTCATTAATAATACTTCTTCTACCCACAGAACCCACGAGTTTTTCAACTGCGACCACGGTGGAGGTGTCTTCCATGAAGGTGAGCCCATGTTCTTGTCAAAGGGTCCACACCTATCGGTGAGCGATGTGGCTGGCACCGGACAGAATGTAGTTTAAGTCCCAGCTCTGCCACTTACTGGTGGTGGGCAAACTGTCCTTTTGAAGGCTCTGTAAGACGGGGCAGCAGCAGTTCTCGATCCGGGGCTTCTATGACGCGTAGAGCAGCGTGGGGCTGGCTCACGAAGCTGGGCTGCCCCGTCGGTGGATGCAGTTTCACCCCTGAGCTTCTGGACACCACGGGAGGCTTAGCGTGCGACTCCGATTCAGTTCCTCTGAGCCCTTCCCGGTGGACTCCTGGTGTCATAATGATCTGGAGAGAGGATTACCGCCGAAGCCGCTTAAACAAATCCTCGAGTAATCCAATTTCCCACCCACGGCAGCTCCTCCGTGGTCCCCAATTCCCACATGCTCAGCGGGGAGGCTCCACGCTCCCGGAGCTGGGCAGCATCTCACCCATCATCCGTGCCGGACTGTCCAGGACCAGCGGAAGCAACTCCGGGGGGAAGTCCAGGCCCTTGGGCCAGAGCGCTCCCAGCACAGGGTGTCGGGGCACTGACAGACCGAGAGCCTGCCAAGGCCCCAGGCCCTGAGCCTTGCGTTTGCTGTCTCATTGATCCTGACGTGAACTGAGATTCAGGGAGAACGCTGACACCCACCTGAGTTGAGAAATCTGCCCACGGTCTCAGAGCTAGTTGTGGTCACAGAGCCAGGATTCCAGCCTGTGATTTTCCTCGTCAGTGATGGTACCTGTGCCCTTGAACCAGACCCGTAGGACAGTGTAAGCTCTTGGTGGATTGGCAGATGGGAAGCAATCCCCACCTTGAGTAGGCGAGGTGTAGATGCAGATAATCTTGCAGATGTTGAAAGTGACAGGTCAAAATTGGAGAGGTACATGAGACAAAGGAAAGGCGTGGTGGGGGTCGGGGGGCAGGGAGGGGGTTGAGGAGGTGCCTGAGCTGGGTCCCGAATGAAGGTGGAATCCACAGACACGGGCTTACAGTGCGGAATGTCTTTTATAGGCACCTACTACCAACGGAGACGATGACAACATCTCCTCGAACTATCCTGCCAATACGACAAGCTTCCCAGGTGAGCCCTGGATCGTTGTGTATTCCTGTGGCCTAAGGGGCACCAAAGGCTTGTAACTCTGTAGACAAAGTGCTTTCTTATTTGAAAATGTCGGCAGGGGGCCAGTCTGCTTTGTGGAAGAGACCAGTGGCACAAACATTCTTTCATGACCTTATATGTCCAAGTTGGATATGGTTAGCTAAGGTATTACGAGGGAACCACAAGAATAATGAGACAGATCAGGAAACCATTTCACAATTGGCACTTACCCAGCTTGGAGTGGGGTCACGGCTCAAAGGAAGTGTCCTCATCTCATCTGAGACCCAAAGGCCGAGGAGGACTGGAGAGAAAAGGGGTGCAGGGAAGGTGGGAAGAGTGTTCTGGGGGAGATGTGAGACCATGTGCAGAGAGCCCCAGGGCGGGGTGGGGGTGCGGAGAACATGGCATGTGGAAGAGCGAATGAAGATCCTATGGCTGGGGCTTGAATGCCAAGTGGGGAGACAGGCAAGAGATGACGCCCCATGGAGAACGCTGCACCCAAACACTTGATTTAAAGCGCCTGGGCCTCCCTGGCATCGTCCTCAATGGAGCTGCCATCGATGAGGTCCCCAAAGCTTTCTGCTTCTTGCCCCCATCTGTGCCTTATGGGGGCAGGCTGAGCACCCCTAGAAAAGCCACTCTGAAGGGGAGCGGGAGCCTGTGGCTGGCCACGGGTGCTCAGAAGCTCTGAGCTTGAGGTGTATCTCTTGCCAAGTGGCAGAATCCCAGGGTTTGTCAGACTCTGCTGGGAGTGATTCTTCTAGCGTGGCTGTGGCCAAAACACTGGCAAGAGGCCTACTGGTTAGCAGAGCTGTTTCCTCCTCCAGGGTGAGGTTCCTTGGAGACTTTTGAAAGCACCAGCTGAGTGGCTTATTGTTTTCTCTTCCTTCTGCTCCTCCTCCTCTTTTCCTCTCTAGTGCAAGAGCCTCCAGTACCCCTGTACACATTCCTGGTGGCTGGAGGAAGCCTGGCCTTCGGAACGCTCCTCTGCATTGGCGTTGTCCTGAGGTGAGCGGGGTCCTGGGGGGTGGCCCTGGGTGTTGGCATATTTCTTATCTCACTAGCTTCGCCTGTGCTGGGACGGGGGCAGTGAGTGGGAGAGCCACAAATGGCTCAAGATGTATTTCAGAGGTGGGATCGCTAAGATTCGATGACCGTAGATGAGGAGAAGGAAGGAGACGGAGGAGTCAAGGCTGACCCTCATGTTTCTGGCTTTGGCAACTGGGCAGATTAGGTGTTG